TTTTCGTTTAATTATCTCTTGCGGTTATTGAGAGTTTTACTTTTTTATTTGCGCAATTATTTTCGAAACACACTGTAACTGCCCGGTCAACCAGTTGATCGGATACATCAATACTATACAAGTTCAGCGGCACAAATATTTTGCCGTTTCCAATCATTTTAAAAACTCATTGTCGATAATTGGTAAAAAGGATTCGTTTGCGGATAAACAGAAATTATTGTTACACAAGCGTAATATTTATGATCCGACTTCACAAATATCTATTGCTATTGTTAAAACCGCTTTAACCTTTTGTTGTTATGTTAGGTAAGAGCACTTCACTGTACATACATATTGTTGACTGTGTTATTAATTTAGAGGTCTGCATACAATATTTTTATGTAGATAGTGTATATGTATTACTAAACATATCGATTATTTGTCATATTGTTGTGTTGTCGACTATCATAGAATTCTAAGAATAATTCTCAGGATATGCATGCTTACTTCATTTGATCACAAGGTGTTGACAAAGTACATATATAGCACTCTTGTCTCCCGCAGTTTCGAAAGCATTTATATTACAGTATTATAGATTGTTACGTCTTATTTGAGATAACTTGTGTTCATTTATGCCAAAGTTATAAATATATAGTTTATTTCATGTTTTACATTGATTTTTTATATTACCGTATGTATCTTCTCGTGAATAAGCACCCCCCCCCTGATTATCGTTATTAGCAACTTAACCAATAGTTTATTACACAAAAACCGCGAGATTATAAACTTTTATAATACATTTTTGGTTACTGTGATTACTGTTGGATAACTCCCTAAAGTTTATTGTTTACGTGACGGTCGGTTTATTATGTAATAGCAGCCTAAATATTCCTTTACCTAATTGCTGCTGCAGTAATACGTAAAGTACCAACACGTATATAAACGCCGCGTTTCCATTGACGATTCGATAAAAAACTCATAGCATGGCTACTACTTTGTTCAACAATCAATATCGTATTGACCTACCTTCCACCGATACGCCTACAGCTTCAATGTTTGTTTCACTTACTCCTTCCGAAATCGGTCTCTTAAACCATCCCCCATACATTCTTACCATATCTCTTGACATCCTCCTCGATCCTACATACAATCGCCAATCCCTTCCTCCAAGGCCTCAGAATGCGTGGATTATTTTTCGTAGAAATTTTGAAGGCCAGCTACGTGCTCAACACCCCACTAGATTATATACTATTCGCGACGTCTCGAAAATTGCCAGCGATCAGTGGAAGGTTCAGTCCGATGCGGTCAAAGAATACTTTTGCGTGCTTTCTAAATTGGCCCGAGAACGACACTGGCTTGCTTTTCCTGATTACGTTTACAAACCAAAAAGGACTAAGCAGAGAAAAAGAAACGAAAAATTTGTATTCAAAAATATGGGTGAAGCTGAATTTAAAAATCGACAAAATAATAGAATGCATACACAAAGAAATATTGAGAGCAACAGGAGCACGGTCGTTATAAATACCGACGAACATTTTGTATATGAGAACACGTACAATGACACTTGGCTCGAAGGCTCATTTCAGGAAGACAATGATTACGATGAGTATATAGAACCTCTGTACTGTACCTTTTCAAATTCTGTACTGTACTGCTCTTTTTTTTAAAAATGATGCTGTCCTAAATAAAATATGACATACCTTATATAAATTCTGTACTACGTACCAAGAGCTGGTACGTAGTACAGAACTGAAAAGGTACAGTACAGAATTTATAATACCAAAGCAGTTATTATATAAGGGCTGTACTGTACCAAAAGTTGGTACGTTTTGATAATTAAAAAAGTACAGTACAGAATTTGAAACGGTACAGTACAGAATTTCAGGACACCGGATTACGATACATCATCCAATTGTCATGATCTAGTACCGGATAACGTTTACAACAACAATATTTGTGACGCCGATAGCATGTCAATTTATTTTACTGATGAGACAATCCACTTGCCCATCCAAGGTTTCGTTTACAATCCTTTCGCTTTTCCATTTCCAATTTCCCAAAAAATGGTACGATTTTTGAGACAGCGGTATACACTTCATCAGATAATTCATATTAAATGAATACCTTTAACGTCGATGCGCAGTTGATTGAAAATAGTGGACAGAAAGGTTTTATGATATCAACGAATATAGACAGGACGTTTGCTCGTATTCGTAATGTATGAGAATAACGAAAATATCCCAACTATTATCAATGAATAGCAAATTTTTTGTTATGATGTAATGTATAATTATACTATACAATATGAAATTTGTAAATATGAAAATTATATATACGAATAGTCGAAAGACGCAATCTGCATATGGTAGGCTAGTGAATGTTATGTTGTTGTCAATATATTTGCGTAAATAAGTATTTTGTATGGATTAAAAAAAGTATGTTTTATTGTAAGGTTAAGAACGCTATATTTTCGAATAAACAAAGTTGTTGTTTATAGCATAGAAAAAGTAAATATTACTTCCGGTTATTAGCAATACCCCAATTATGAATTTCCAATTATAATGTATTGTGTTACTAATAGCCAGTGCTCTCAAGAACTGTTGGTAACTCGCTTAACTTATTTCGGATTGCGAAAACCTAGGTACCTGTATTAGACAAAAATTATTGAGTGCTAATAAAGGTCGAGAGATATCATTATTGCAAAAATTGACATTGTATTATGTGTGTGCCCTCTTGATATACTGTATAATGATAGTAGCTCGAATCAGGATCTCAGATCGGGTCAGCATATGCCATGATCACATGGAAACGAGCACGAAATTCTCGTTTGTCAATACAAGCGAATGAGAATGTGTGATTTAATGCATCTGTTTGTGGCGAAATATTAGTAATATAAGTTGTCGTTAGTAATTACCCCAAACAGCAAATTACACATAGCCCTTCATCCACTACCCGATTGCTTTTTTATATATACGGAGACAATCACAAAATGTGGGGGTTTCGAATTAATAGTATTACAACATAGGGGAAAGTCACTATATAAAGCTTTTTTTTTTTTGCCGATTATTTTAGAACGACTATATAAACTTCAAACTGCCGAGGCTTTTGAAGGAAGCTACGCTCTTAAAAACCATGACAATACATGCCTCATCTATCATGACATCAAAATCAGGAGCGTTTTCTTTTGTTCATTCAATTCTTTCTTTCAATGACTCTCAGGCACGCACTATATGCTACTAACTTAATATGGAGTAGCATCTTTATCTGTCAAAAATAGTAAAAAAATTGAATTTGTCATACATACGTAATCAATATTTGTCATACATAACGTAATCAATCTGCTCATTTTTATTTTTTAATTAACATTAATATAAGATCGAAATCCATACGTACGTAACACTAATTTCTTTTCAAGTACTTCTTGACCCTTTATGGA